CTCTCTCTCTCTCTCTCTCTCTCTCTCTCTCTCTCTCTCTCAAAATTCAAATTCAAATTCAAAATTTGCTTTATTGGCATGAAAGTTTAAAAACAGTATTGCCAAAGCATCAAAAAATTGAACATACAATAACATCAATACACAACAATATCAATATAACAATAATATTAATACAACATCTCATAAAGTGGTGTGAGACAGAGCCTCCATTGCTCCCACGTTACCTGTAGGCCACCGCAGCTCTCTGACACCGAAGCAAAGGGAGGGTCGAAGTGAGAGAGAGAGAGAGATCCACGGATAGATAGATCTCTCTCTCTCTCCGTCTCTCTCCCAATTCAACCCAAACTCAGATCTGCTCCATTGGCGTCGGCATTACAACACACACACACGCACACACACACACACACACACACACACACACACACACACACACACACACACCCTCACACACACACACACACACACACACACACACACACACACACACACACACACATACTCTTTAACCAATACCCATACAGCTGCTGATGTCATTGAAGACTTTGGGACTTAATTGGCCGTAGACAATTTGGCTTTGTTGGAAGTGAAAAATGAAAACAGTAAATCATAATTAAATATGCTTGAAGTCACACACATACTCTCTCTCTCACACACACCCACACACACACACACATAAAGAGGAACCACATCACTGGCATTAAATTAGCTCTCACAGCGTCGCTGTGTCTTTAGTTGGAGCTCATGAAAGTGTTCCGTGGTAACGGCGGCCATTTTGTTCCTTTTTTATCATTATTGCTTCTTTAATATTTCTCTTTTGTTTCTCACAATAACCCATCATCATGTTGTTAAAGTGTCGTTTGTGTCGAAACCACAGTTTAATGATGCAGCGCATGTTTCTGGATCCTTTTGTTTCCGTCGCCTTGTTGGTTTAGATGCTTTGATGTTTATTTTCTTTCTTTAGTTTCTAAATGTGGAGACAACGACACTGCCAGGGACAAGATAACAATAAGTTAAACACTTTAAAAAAGGTTAAAAAAGTCCTTCACATCACTCAAGTGTCAAAATAATCCGTCTGTTTAACTTTAAAAGACAAACAAATACTGTACAACGCTGTGTCTTTCGACCTGAAGTCATTATTGTTTTATTAAAAGTTGTTTTAGTATAAAACATAAAGTCAGCATGCTAACCAGCTAGCCGTCCTGTAATACCACTTTTTACCTGGAAAGGCGATAGTGAGTTACACTGCACCTTTAAATGCTCATGTAAACGGGTTTTTTAAATTCTGTTTTTTTTATTTTTAAATCTATAATTTGAAATAACATTAAATAATTCTTAGTTCTGTATCTTGCTTCTTGTTTTATTGTGTCTGTTTGTCCGTGTGAATGAGTCTGAATCTAACATTTAAACGTTTTAAAGGCAACAATGAGGCTCGCTGACGTGTTTTTATCAGGCTGTTTATGTCTAAAAGGGTCCCATGAAGACAGAACCACCTCTTAATCTACAGAGTATAGACTCACAGGATCTTACACAATGTGCCAATATTCAAGGATAATTTCCATCTTCATCCAGCTTTGCTTTAATGTGTGAAACCTGCATGTTGGACTCTGACAAAACATGAAAAATAAAGTGTTGATTTAAGTTTTGTGGCAAAAGACAGATGTTAAAATCCTCTTTTCTTCTCCAATAACAACCTGATGGAAACGTCATCGCTGTGTGTTTATCTGCGTGTTAATCGTAGTCGACCCTCCTGTATCTACTGAGTAACACCGAGGCGCTCCATCGATGACCAATGAGGAGACCCTTCAGAGAGGAGCTCCTATTAACTAGCCGCTCATTAACCGTGACACCCGTCCAGGACCGCCGGTGCTCGGCGAACACTTTTGAAACCCGACAAATGAGTTGTCGGTTCATTGCCGGCGATGTTTTGTTAGAGACGCAGCGTCAGCAGCAACCTTCGTCTCATAGATCTCCACCAATTACATGATGAGCGAGATAACGGGAGGTGCTCAGCCTCGTTGTTACATCTCCTGTTTGTGCTCCAGCTGCGTTTCTCTGCAATTCATTTATGCTAATTTCCATCCATCGACTCACTGTGCACAAGGTCAGCCACACAGGAGGCTGCAGACGCCTCACTGATACAGCAGATATACACACACACACACACACATGCACACACTGACAGTGAGGAGCGGAGATGGAAACAGAATAGAACAAAGTTGACCTAAAAATCCTCTTTGGCCCTGGAGGGCTGGGGGGGGGGGAGTGTGCTACTTTTCTGATTTCACAGATCAGAAGATGTCTGCTCCTCCTCTTCCTCTCAGCAAGAACACAGAGTCGAGGTTTGAGCTCCAGTGTTTCACTCCTTACCGTTTAGTTTAATTCATCTTTAATATGAATGTCACAAAAACGTCTAAACTTTAAATGATACTAACTAAATCTTCACTTTTATTTCCTGGTAAATGTGATTAAACTCTGTTTTTATCTCAGATGTGACACAGATCATTTATACATAGATACATACACATATAGTATATACATATATATATATATATATATATACGTATGTACACATATTATTATCATATACGTGTCGTTGAGGCGCTGATAAAAGTTCAGATTTTGTCTTGTTATGTCGGTGGTTTACACTAAAGAAGACTTGTAGCCTGTGTGTCTGTCTGTAGTGAGAAGAGAAAGTAAAGTTTGGCTGAAAGCAGGACCAACATTTAAAAGTGAAAGACGAAGACGCTGAACGCTGAAAGCAGGAAAACTAAGCCAATGATCTGACAGGACAAACACAAACAGGAATCGGAGCCGACCAATACCTTTCTTCCTTGCTGCAGTTAGCGTTTGTGATATCCAAGCTTTTACTGAAAACAGATTTACTAAAAAAAAAAGGGGGGGGGGGGGGGGGGGGGGCAGACAGAAAAACCAAGAGACAGACAGAAAAGGTCGTCACATAAGGGGAATCCTAAATGTTGAGCAAGCATCAGATAAAAACGTGTCACAAATTTATCACCAGAAAATGAAGAAGAAGAAAACAAAGAATCACAGAAGAACTCAGTTCATGCACAGAAGCCAGAAACCAGCAGGAGGAGGAACGTTCATGAGTCATGCTGGAGTCAGTGGTCCTTCAACACGC